TGACAGTGCAGGGAGAGGCAAAGATCCCTGTAGGCTTGTATAAAGCCTCCACCAAAAACAAAATACATAAAACCAACAACATAATCATTAAATCACTTATTTTAATCACTTATTCAATTATCAAAATAATAATAAAACAAACAAATAAATGTAAAAGTGCATTAAAGAACACCGTAAATAGAAATACCACCTAAAATATAGCTGAAATTTTAAACAAAATATATAACAATAATAAAAGTCTCAATCACAACAGTTAAAGTTTTAAAGAACTTTTAAACTTGTTTCACAGAAGGCCGAAATGAGAAAATTCATTCCAAAATGTTGCTCCCCTTTATCGGACAGAAAACTGACCTCTTCTGCTCTGACATTTAGGATGAAGAAGTCCTGAACTATGACGAGTTAAGTAAGAATGAATTTGCAAATTTAATTTAAAATAATGAATAAAGTGCATTGGTATACTCTTTGTCTTTCATAAATCTATAGACAAAACTGTAGACAATGCACAAAAAAAAGACTAAATTACCACTAACTAGCAATGATACAACTTCTAATAATAAAAATATAATGTAAGGGTTTGTGCAAGAACAAATAAAAGATATGTTTGGTTTTACAGACTGTAGTTACCTATCAGAGTTTGACATTAGGAATTAGACTTTGCATATTTTCAGTGCAAAACAATCGCAACAGACTATTAACTGTAAAGTATCACAGTGCAGACAAGAAACAAAGATGTGATGACAATCTGACAATTACAGCAGAATAATTTTCAAAGTTTAAAATGGGTAATAACAGAGCAGCTGATTGGTTAGTAATAATATAAATGAGTAGTCATGCAAAAATGATTGTTCAGATGAGTAATGACAATGAATAATAACAGTACAAATGATTGTACAGTAGCAGGTGTGTAAACACTGTGTTTTTTGGATGTGGTGCTGGTTAAAGTGTCTAACAGCTGCTGGGAGGAAGGATCTGCGATAACGCTCCTTTGTGCACCTCGGATGCAGCAGTCTGTCGCTGAAGGAGCTCTCCAGTTCAGCCACAGCTTCATGCATGTGGTGGGAGACGTCTTCTTGAAATACTTGATTTGACTCAGTTTTTTTCTTATTTCAAGAATCTTACCAAGTAAAATTTTCTTACTCCACTGACAGAAACTTTTGACTCAATTTGAGTCACATTTTCAGACTAACAAGACAAATAATCTTACACATTCTGAAAACAAGATGATTATTCTTACACAATCAGTTCTTGTTTAGTAAATCAGTCTCAAAACAAGATCAAAAAGACTTTTTGGCTGATATAAGGATTTAAAACTTGGTAAGATGCAGTTTTTGCAGTGAGCTGTGTTGAACCAGGGCAGCACCTAAAACATCCAGGACACCGGGCCTTGAGGACCGACTTTGGACACCACTGGTTTAACCGGACTGAGTTTTCTTTGCGTTGCGCGGTCTGACCTTTGGGTGAACCTGTCCTGAGTTTCTCTCTGCAGGTGGATGTTTTACACCTGAATCCTCTTTTCTCTCTGTAGCAGGGTAGAACCAGTCTCATGGTGTCTGTCTGCACACCTGACACCCCTCCGGGTCGAAGGGGCTTGTTGCAAACGATCAGTTCATCAAGCACGTCTGCATTTCGACTCGGTTCAAGTTACATTTCACAAAACGTTGCCTGATTTATCCACCTTAACGAGGACCACGTGGCTTTATTTGATTTAAACTTCTAACAGTTAGAAGTCGACAAACGACTCGCTGTCAGGACCTTGCCTGTTTTTACCCTCTGCCTTTTTTTAAAACCCTAAAATGGCAGCGCAACACCTCCCACTTCCACCTCCGTTTGAAATTTTCACTTCCTGAATGCGAGCGTGCGTTCGTACTTCAACCTCTCGTCTCCTCCGAGCCCTCACTCTGGTGGCAGGGTGTCTGCTGCAGCTGCTGAAGCTTCTCGAGCCCAGTCTTCCCCCCCTCCACCACCACCACCTGTCTCCAGGTAAGCTGCAGCATCACACACACACCTGCTCCACACCTCTCACCTGTTCACTCCTCCATGGCTTCATTTTCCTCCTGTTTTCACAAACAGTCCAGTAATGAGCTGCTTCCATCCCGGCTGAGGCGTGTTGTTTGCTGTGTGTTTGTGCTGGAGATGAAATTAGGGCCGGTTTTACAGCAGGATTATTAGATTAGATGCAGACCAGCCTCTGGTGTCTTGTGATGCAGCAGAGGCTGTTCAGTTCTGCAGGCGGGTTTCAGGAAGTCAAACCTACAAATGGAGGTAAAACCAAAGCTTTTAGGTGTTTTTTTTATGAGACTAAAGGATGCAGGAGTTGTTGCAGCTGATTCTAATGCAGGTCTATTTAACGTTTAGCTCAAAGGTTATGTGGATGAGCTCCTGTTTGAAGCAGGTATAAAACCAATGACGGCACGAGTGAAAGAGAAATTGGAAAAAAGAGGTTCTGGTTTGTGGTTTTCTTCGTCCGTTTGAAGGATGTGATGTAACTCTGCCATCTGCTTTACCTTTTTAGGTTCTCATCAACTAAAAGCAGATCGTGTTTGTGTCGTTGCCTTGTATGGCTGTCTTAGCGTGCATAATTATTTTAGAACAAATTAAAGAGAGAAGAGGCATCCGTCAGACTAGAGGAAGCTGTTGTGAAAGCTTCGACTTCCCCTTTTTTTCCACACGCTTTCCTGTGTTCTTTATTTTCACCGTTCAGTTTGTTTCAACAGAAACGTTTTGCTTTGATGATGTTTGAATCAGATGAGTGAAAACCCACAGCGAGTGTCCTTCTGCTCCCCATCAGTTCACCATGTCCAGGAAGGTCGTGAGGTCCAGCAAGTTCCGGCACGTCTTCGGCCAGGCGGTGAAAGCCGACCAGTGCTACGATGACATCCGCATCTCGCAGATGACCTGGGACAGCAACTTCTGCACCGTCAACCCCAAGTTCGTGGCCATGATCGTGGACGCCAGCGGTGGAGGGGCCTTCATGGTTCTGCCCCTGACCAAGGTGGGCCACGGGAAACACAGAAAATACAAACAAGCTTTATGAAAGCGTCTGACGACTGAACCCCGCGCTCACTTTGTGGCTCTGATTTGAATTCTGCTACCAGCACACGTTGGAGTGAAAAAGGAAGTCTGAGGCCTCCTTTGAGTCTTTCTGCACGTCACTCTCAGCTTTTTGAGTTTTCACCATATTAGGAGTTTGTTGTCATGCAGGAGGACAGGATGTGGCCTCTACCCGGTTCTTCTGCTCTCACTTCTGAAGGGGTTTAGGTGCTCCTGCCAGTGCACGGCAGCGTTTTATCGAATGTTGTTTTTAAAATAAAGACAAACTTTGTGGTTTGGTTTGGGTCATCTGAGCGGTGTTTGACTCAAAGTGGGTCAGCCACCAAATCAGCCGAATATTAAACCACAGAAATGAGCTTTTATTTTAGTGAAAATGCAGCGTGAGCGCTGAAATGTGTTAAACAAACTGAAACTGAATTCTTAAATTTAAAACAAAAAGATTAAATGCTGAAATTATCAAAACAGTAGCTAAAACTAGCGTACAGTTGTCTAAACTAGCCAAACTGTAGCTAAAGGCTAAACTGATCCAAACCATTCCTAAAGCCGAGCAAAACAGCTAAACTAGCAAAACAACAGTAAAAGCTAAAATTGACACAATAGTGCCTAAAAGCTAAAATTAGCAAAACATTAGCTAAAAGCTGCAAACAAAACTTGAAATCTAAACCTAGATCAATTAAATTTATTTAAATTAAACCCAAAAAGTTACCAAATATTATTTACAAGTACCATGTAGGTACATGTTTCATACTAAATACTTACCTAATATTTACAGGGTACTTACAGGGTACAAGTATTATTTTTACCTGATTAGTACAGTGTACGTACTTACCAATATACCAGGTTTTACCTGGTATATACTAGATACATACTTAGTACTTACCGGTTAAATACAAGGTGTG